TGTACAATCATGTGATGTTTGCTCAAGATCGAAAACTCCTCATCACCGACCTTTTGGACTTCTTCAGCCATTACCCATTCCAGAACAACCATGGTCTTCTGTTTCTATGGACTTCATCACGGATCTTCCAATTTCAGGTTTTTATGACTCTATATTCGTGATAGTAGATCATTTTACTAAGATGGCATATTTTGTACCATATACAAAATCTTTCATAGGTGAAGAAATAGCTAAGCTCTTTCTTGACAATATCTATCGCTATCATGGATTACCTAAGGATATTATATCAAATAGGAGAACTCAATTTGTATCAAGATTTTGGTGGACTCTTTTCAAGATTCTTAAAGTGGATATAAAACTATCTTTGGCATTCCATCCTCAAACTGATGGACAAACGGAGCGTGTTAATCAAGTTTTGGAGCAATATTTAAGATGTACCATTAATTACCAACAAGATGATTGGACAACTCTTTTGCCATTGGTAGAGTTTGCTTACAATAACACGATACATTCTTCTACAAAACAAACACCTTTCTTTGTTAATTATGGTTATCATCCACAACTTGATACTTTTGACTTTTCAAAAGTTGATAATCCTGTTGCAAAAGATTTAGCAATACATTTATCAAAGCTACATGCAACGATGAAGGTGCAGTTAAAAGAGGCTCAAGAACAACAAAAGGTCAATGCGGATGTCTATCGAAAGGAACAACCATCATTCGTCTTGGGTGATAAGGTATGGCTACTTCGTCGCAATATCAAGACTACTCGTCCTCGTGACAAATTGGACTATCGAAGGCTGGGACCATTTTCTATTTTTGCATAAATCAATTCAGTTGCATATCGTTTACATCTATCGGAGTCAATGAAAATCTATCCAGTATTCCATGTGTCTCTTCTTGAACCATACAAGACAGTGGACATACCAAGAAGATGACAAGCTCCACCTCCTCTTATAGAAGTAGACAATAATGAAGAATTTGAAGTAGAAGAAGTCTTAGATTCAAGGCGGCGCCAAAATAAATTAGAATATCTTGTCCATTAGCACGGATATGGTATTAGTGAATGCACATGGGAGCAAATAAAGAATCTTACAAATGCAGCAAAGGCGGTGGAGGCTTTTCATCGATGACATCCATCAAAATCAAGATGAAAATCTTATTTATAAAAGAAACAACATCTAGGCAAGATAACATTCTACTTTCAATTCTTGTTCATAGCTTCTTTGTAGTATTGACGCTCAGGAGATGGAGAACCAACAACTAGTGGATTCGACTCAAGAGCCTTCATTTGCTGACCTGTCGGATGAGACATTACAATTTTCACAACCTTCAAGATGACGCAATCGAGATAAAGATCTTCAAGAATGACATGTTCTTCCTTGAATAGATGGCGAGATACAATGCGTTTGGTATCACGATTTGGGAAGGGACTCCCGATGTTTGGTGATTGTGCTAGAGGTAGGAACCACTCCTGATGGTGTTCTAAATATTCTATTCGAAGGAAGTTATGAAGGCCTCAACAATGATCAAATAACTGGGTAGTCTTCCCGCCTTGGTGTGCGACACTACCGATGGTTAAGAGGCCCTATCAATCATCTTTGAAGAGAACAAAGATCAGAGTATGTGGCGAATACAATTCGTCGCATTATAGATTTCCTCAACATATGATGACCGCTCTTCATGGAACTCGTCCCTAGAAGGAGGGATAATGTCATGGACATAATCATGTAAGCTGGTAATTACATATACAAATAGGTAGAAGTAAGTAAAAGTAAGTAAAAGTAAGTTAATTCTATAGTATTTAATATGGAAGCTTTCTAGAAGCTTCATAGACGTTGCTTTGACTTCATAGGTGTCTTTAATTGACTTTTTGGATTAGAAACGTGATCAACAAGTTGGCCATGTGCCACACATATTGTTAGCTTGAAGATCAATCTAACTATGTAGCCCACACATAGAAAAACTTGCCTTATAAGTCAAGGCATGTATCCTACAAAGTCAACACATATTGGAGGTCCTATAGAACGTTGCCACATAGCCCCTAGTTAGATAGTATATATAGAGACAAGAGTGAAGGCTTCTTCACTCTTGTCAACTCCTTTTTTGCTTCTAGTCTAGTTTCAAGGGTCTTTAGTTTTCTTGTCTTTTGGCAATAGCCATTCCAGTTTCTCTTTCAATATATATACTTGTTTATTTGTATTTTGTTACCTCTCTTTGAGTGAAGGCTCACTTGTCTGAATTGTTTTTTATTGAGTTCTTATTCTTGACAGTCTTTGACATTTAATGTAATACATTTATAAATTTCTACATGAAAAAAAATAAAAAATAAAAAATTAAATTAAATTATGCATTATATATATTTTTTTCACTTGGTTTGCAATAAAATCAGGAAGTATATTTATTAAAGGCCAATTAGTCAAGATCTTTTTATCTTAGATTGATAAGAAACTTTTAGACTTAGATGCATCATGAATTATCATCAATTATGATGGCAAGGCAAAGCTGGCACAATCATTTTCTGAAGTTGAAAAACATGATAAGATCCTTTGACACCATGATACTTCTGATATGGTTGCTTAAATAAAATATATATACATATATATATATATATATATATAATAAAATTACAACTACCATGACTAACTTGGTAAAAAGTCAACTTGATAGGACTATGCATTATTAGAGATGTAACAAATTTAGATACATTAAAAATGATTTTAATTTTTTTTTAAAAATAAGATCAAATATATAAAGAAGGGTAAGTAAAAAACTAAAATAGCTAATACAAGAAAAAAAATTAAAAAGAAACATTTAAGTTACATTCATTGTAATAAATTCAACGATAGTGAAGATAATTGCTTTTTTTTACATTTAAATAAGTAAAGTACTTTAAATAAGAAAAGAGCCTTAGAAGCTATAGAAGAGATTTATTAGTATAGTTTTATTAGGCCAAGTCATTGTATTTCAAGTAAATTTTGAAGATGGTGCAAGTTTTTATATCCTCAATATTTATATGTATGGTGCATTAGAAAAAATAATACTTGCTACTATCATGCATATGCAAACAACAGCCAAGAACATAATACCTATCACAAATAAGGTACCAAAAATCTTGCATGGCCATCAAAATAATTGCAGAGATCTTCATATTTATATTTGATTGCCAATATTATTTAATCTTATAAAAGTTAATATTGTAGCTAGGTCATTTATTTCAACTTCAACTTAAGATTGAAATACTAATGTTAAAAGACAGCAAGAAAATAGGTTTGGATGGAAAAAATAAATAAAAAAAAAAAACAAATTATGGCAATAATTCTTAAGTTTCCAAAAACTTACTCATCAAAATCTGAATCTACACAAATTAATATGATACATTTCAAATCTTTGACTAAGTAAGAAAAGACTTCATGTTATTAAGAAAGATTGTACTTAAATTGTGGAGAACCTAAGCTCATTGCTCAACATTGTCCAAAGAAGCAATGCAATCAAAAATTGAGGAGCATGGTTGCCAAAAAAGACAATGTTTTGGGAAAAAAAGTTGGTCTCACCATAATAGAAACTATATAGTTAGAATCTTGTGCAATACCTAATAAAGGACCTATTTTTTAATCAGATCCTTCATCTTGTTTTACAATAGATGTTTATTTAGACCTAAAATTTGGCACTTAATGTCACATCATGTGACAAAAAAAATATTATTTTTTAATTTTAAAAAAAAAATATCCAATTGATTCAAAAGGCTATATTTGAAATGGTTTTATAATTTATAACTCAAATATTATCAAATTCTAACTTTAAAAATTTAGGTGTAAATGAATGCAATATAAATTTGTGGTTTTTTTTTATTATTATAATAGGTATTTTGAAAGTTGGGCTAAATTGGTATAAATAGATAAATAATTTTTACAATATAATCTATTTGTAAAGAATACTAAAAAAAAACTAAAATATAAAAAATAAAAATAAAAATAAAATAAAAAAATCTAAAGTTACAAGCTATTGTTGGTAAAAAAAAGACTTTAAAATATTCTTTTACACAATTTGATAAATTTTTATTGACTTCTTTAATTGCATTAAGAAAATAAATACATTAATCAAAAAATTATAGACATGAATTTTAGTTAATTACTACCTTCTTTAAAAATCATAAAAAATAGTATATATATATATATATATATATATTTGAAAGAAATATTAAAAAATATATAAATAAATAATAACTATACAAAAAATGTATCTTCGTCATGACCAAGTATTTAAGTGTCATTAGCATCTAAACATCTAAATTAAAGTTACAATTATGTATTACCATTAAGTCTTATTGAATAAGTACTTCTTAACTTCTTTGTATTATAAGTTATAATTATTATTATTATTATTATTATTATTATTGTTATATTTCTAATATTTTTTTCTAGATTTATCTAGATTTATTAATTAACTAAAATGACAATATTATCTTGTATATTATTGTCTTAATAATAAGATAAATTTTAATTAAATTATTTCAATTAATAAAATAACTATGTTAATTTATTTAGTTAAATTCTACTATGTATTATAGTATAATTATGTTCAAATGTTATCAAATAAAAAAAATTATATATCTAATGTTATCAAAAAAATAAATTAATAAATAACTGACATAATAAAGTTTAAATAAATTATGCAATTTTCATATTTATATTTATATATTTTTATATATAGATATAAGTAGATATATATATATATATATATATATATATATCTTTCTACAAGACTTAGATTTGGTTTATTTAGATTTTGAAATTGTTTAGTTATATATTTTGAAATATTTAACATGTAAACTGTATATATACATATATTTATATATATGATTTTTTTATAAATAAAGTAATTGTTACACCATGAATCAATAAAATATTATATCTGCAATATGTCCCAAAATTTTGTATCCTGCATAGCTTATTTTTCTTTCAAAATTCCAATTAAAACTACAAAAACCAGAAGAGTCAATGAGAGAATGCTAGCATTTTATTAGACAAGAATTGTCTAATTATCGACCAAGCAATCAGCGTCAAATAGTTCCTGGAAAACAAATAACATGGCAAGAGCTTCCTGTGCATGTCAGGATCCAATTTCCACAAGCACATGCCTGGAGCACTAAATGTGAAGCGTTCACTTTAGTAATTTTCAAAAAGTACAATGGTCTCTAAGAACTTGGCGAGCCAGATCCAGAGCTCCACTTTTTTTGTAGATGAGGTGCAGGTTGTGAGCCGCTTCTCTTCGCAGATCACAATGACCAATATATTTATCTTTATCCTTTTGCACAGGAAGGAAGCCTGATCCCTCGGTGGGTAGCAACACAAGGGGACAGTCCTTTTCCCTCTGTATTAACACTTTTTCGTAATAATTTACAGCTAGTTGGACGAGTCCAACATGGTGAAAGGCCCTAGCCAGGTTATAATTCGATTCCTGTATTCCCCATCCAGTCATGCATTAGCTTCGCTGTGTTCCACGGCATTCAGTATTCGTTTCACAAACCTAATATATGAGTGTGCACTTCCTTGTCTGCATCAACATATGTCTACAGAAATTCAATATAAGCGTATCGGTGGAGGATGAAGCATACCTGATTGAACTTGCATAATCGTTGATAATTGTACAAGAAGGCAAATCCTTGCAGAACTGTCTGGTTGCGGTTGCTTAAACGAAACCCAAGAGAGAGGTTGATAAAAGAAACACCAATGCAAAGATTTATAAAAGGATCATCTGGCTGAACTTGATATGCTTGTAAATACTCTCGAAGAGCACCTTGGGGTTGGCTTATCATAGCGTACTGGTGTCCACATATAACCATTGCGGGTACACAATCTGGGTACTTACCTCGCACAGAAAGCATGTACTTGCTGTGCTTGGATAGCCTTACTTCTGATCTTGATACCACTTGATAATACGCATTCCACATACTGAAGCTATAGGGCCTTTGTTGTACCATGTATCGTACACAATCGTATCCATACTTGACGTCTTTGGTCTTGTAAGCAATCTGTGCTCCAAGGGCTCGGAGCTCATCACATTTGACCTTTCCAAGGTGGCTGCCTATTCGCAAAATATGGTGAACTATTTCCAGCGCTTCCCAGTATCTCTTTAGCAAAAGCAGTGCCTTGCAAACTTGTAACACAAGCTGGTAGTGTTCCTCATCTTTGAGCAAATTTGGTAGTGGGGACACCTTAATTTGCACTTCTTCTACTGGTTCTGGTTCATGCTCATGCTCTGCTTCATCACTATCCCATTCTAAGCCAGCAGCTAGGGCAGCAGCTTTCTTTTCCTCCTTCTCAGCAGCCCACTTCGCCAGCATCCTCCTAGCTCTTGATGCTTTTGTCATATCATTCCGTGAAAGGACAGGCCGAAAACCTTGAAACACTTGGTCATCAAGTTGCTGTTCCAACCATTGAACTCTTTCGGCCAGAATAGTTTTATTTAATCGTTTTCTGGTCTTCCCCTTCTGAAACACTTTCTGGTTGAGGGATTCTACGTACAGAGATTCATGCAATAAAGGCAAAAGCGTATCCACAAATTCCGTCAGGCGACTCTGAGACAAGTAAATATTGGCCAATTTAACTACTACCTTGCCATGCTTCCACCAGGGCTGCTCCTTCGCTTGTGTATCAGCATCAGTTGTAATGTCCTCTGTCGCATCTACAATCCAGGCCGAAAAAATGTCATTTACTGCACCAGAGTAAAACTAAAACTCATCAAAATAAGCACTCAAAGTTGGAATAAGGTCCAATAACACCTTCAGATACTTTCAGATTTCTGTCCCTGATAATACATCAGATTTTGAGGATCATAATAAGCATCCCAACACGCAACCTTGAGGGCAACGCGCCACTCGACGAGTAATCATCGTACAAGTATTTGCTACGGCATATTGCTACAGAGAATTAACATACCTGAATCCGGAGGAACGAGCAAGGAAATCGCTTCGTTCTGTCTTCCAGAGTCGCACAGTAATGAAGCAAGGCTTAGACGCGTCTCCACGTTCTGGGGCATGTCCTTGATCACTGTTATCAGCCATTCCAAGATTATAAAAATAGTAATAATAATAAATAAATAACTCACTTATTCAGATGAAAAACATACGAAATTTTGGCCTCAACCTTGTTGATTATATTTATCTTGTGTTGTAGTCACCCAAGAAAAAAAAAAAAAAAAAAAAAAAAAAAAAAAAAAAAAAAAAATTCCGGGACCGGGACGTATTTGACCTTTTCTTTGGTTTGCTTACAAAACGCAAAACGAATACCGAACATTGTGGTAGAGATAATAAAAATAGATAATAAGACTGTTGTTTAATCCTTCACAAACACAGAAAAACAGGGCTAGAACAAGCGGAAGTTGGCCCAGCAATAATACTAAAATCACCTCCTCACAAATTTGCACAGATGTGCTAATAATACCTTGCTGGTATACACGAATTGCATCAGCACTCGAACCGAGAGCCATATGACACTGAGCCAACTTGAGCCACAAAACGACCTGTTTCAAAATGACATCAACCGCAAAATGGGTTGTACGTTCAGTTACGAAGGCTTCTGTTAATTGAAAAGGATCGAAATCTGAAGAAGACTTAAAATAAAGTGTGGCTTAACTGCAATGCAGTAAGATTACTCTACGGCTGATTTTTACATTTGATAATTCTGTTCATAGCTATCTGAAAATTAGTACAAACATCTCATTGAACAACTTGCTGTAAGTACCAAAGACATCACGTCCGAACTGCTCCCTAGTCAAGTTCAAAGCTTGAAAATACGTCATTGTTGAGCCTTATGATGTTGTCTACACTATTTCTTCAACCGTAACGAATATCTACGAGAGTATCATCCTCAAGTATTCCAAAGCGCGTCGCAATCGAGGAATTAAATTACAAGCAATAGAATAGCATAATTTTAACGATTCTAACTCAAAAGCAAATGCACTAGAAGAACAAACGTACGTCATCGAAGGAACTGTTGTCGTAAAGCAATTCATAGTAGCGAAGTGCGCTCTTGTGTTCCCCGAGAGCCAAATACGCATCCCCTACTTCGAGGATTAAATCTGCACATTCGTCTACCTGCTCTGTCCTCAATCCTTCGAAATTCCTCTGCGACATTAGTCATATATAAAACTGACGGGTCAAATACGAAGCCCATGTTTGAGGAACTAGTAACAGGTTAATACGCGTCAAAATGCACCAAACCTAAATGTACTGAAAATGATAAGAGAACGCGAAAGAAGATGAGGGTTTATGTAGGCTTTCAGCCGTCTACCTCTGCAGATTCCAAATCTCCCAAGTAGGCATGACATATTCCAGCTTTAACAGATAAGTCTAACGGGAGGGGTTGATCAGCAGAGTAAAGCTCACGGGCTCGATCGATCCAAGAAATGGTTATAGCAAAAGCACCATTGGCCATGTGTAGTTCAGCTAACAAGTTCACAGCCGATAAATCTGCTTCATATGGATATGTCTCAATCAAATGCTCCAGTAACTGAGTGGCTTGTTCAGACTGCCCATTCTTTTGTCGCATCTGACATGTCAAGCCCAATTTCTCATCTTCAGGCAAGCTTGAGGTCAGAAAATAAAGCGCATGAAGCAAATAAGAAAATTGCCCATGATGGCCCCAAGCCTCTTTACAGCTCAAATGGGGAATATTCATACCGAGAACAAAATATACAAGATAAATAAGGTCAAAACTCATTGAACTTGCAGTACACAGAGAGACAGGAGAAAAATTTAATCTGAAGGCAAGAGGCAGACGAACCTTGGCAACCATTTTGCAGATTTCCACATCACCTGGACGCAGAGCAAGAAGTTGTTCCAGACAATCTATAGCCTTTGGAAATTCATTCAACTCTGCATAAAGAGATGCACAGTCCCACCTCGCATCTACGTCGGTAGGATCTGCTCTCATTGCCTTCTGCAGGCAGTAAATGACTTGACCTGGATTCCCGAGCTCCCTACAAGAAAGATAACAACCAAATCTCGATGAGTATGTGGTTCATTAGCAGATAAAACTACCTCCTAAGAACCTTAAGATGTTCAGCAAGACATAATTTACTTTCACACTCCTTGTAAACTCAGACCGTGGTAAGAAGGCTGCTCTTCCCTAGTGACTGCGAAAAAAACCTTCCATCGCTCACAAAGTTCGAACAAAAACTTGAAATATTAAATGAATATAGGAAGTAAAGTGTAAGACTCATACATCGACCAGGAGGCCAACCGCTTCCATAAAACTATATCTTTAGGTGTCAGATGGGCAGCAATCATGTAGAAATTAAGTGCTCTTTTACGATCACCTTTGGCATCATAAAGAAGACCCAAAGTGTGATACGAATCTGCAACATTAGGCGCAATCCGCACAACCTCCTTAAGTATCTCCACTGCCTGTGAGTAGCCACACATAAGTGCTGGATGAGGAAAAACCAAGAAATCCAAGATAAAGATGCCAATATTCATAATATTCACAATACGACGAAATTCTCAATATTTAACTAGTTATTACCTCGTCGAACTGACCAGTAGCATAAAGAAGATTAGCTTCCCCGAGTTTCTTGTTGATCTCTGGAGTGAGCCCTCCTGGTGCCTTCCTCCTTCGCCCCTTCCTCTTTGGCTGCAAACCACATTGTTGAAAATAAGCGCCACAAATCCGCAGGTGACCTAGTACATAGACCTCTCGGTTGATCTCCAAACGTTCCCCAATCAAATTTGTTAGAAAATACTAAATTTGATGCACTTTTCAAAGCTAGACTCTTCCCTGTTCTTCCTGAACTTGCACACATCACTTGGAAATATGGGATGGATCATCTGCCTAATAATTGCATTCCAAAATTTACTGAGAACTTTGCCTACCCCTTTTCGACGTCGTCGACCGGGTGCTCCAAACCCTGCAGCATCCCATATTTCATCCACGCTTGCGCCAAATATATCTTGTTGCTTCGTTATTTTTGCTTGGACAGTCTCTGTCCTGATAAAACAAATGGACCACAAAGCGAAACATATACTTGTTGGAACACTTATTCAGCGAACAGTTCATTCATCAACTGAGAACTAATTACCATCAAACAAAGTAAATTCAATCTTTAATGCAGACAATAAATGCCAGACAGAACCACACGTACACACACACACTAAAGCGTCCGCAATAGAACTTGCACCTTTGAGTACCCGTCAAAGTTTGTACAAAAAGCAGTTCTGTACACCAAAAAAGCACTACCATAATAAATCCAGAAAGTCAATAGGGTATCTAATTTGCTAATGACGAGGTGCCACACTTTATTTTATTATATCTCCTTTCAGAGAGATTTGTATCAAAAACCGGCCCAAAAGTATGCGGACCATCCTCTTCAAATAACAGTAATTCATCGTAACAGGACTTCAGGACTACAAGCTCAATGAGAATAACAACTTGAGAATAATAGATGAAACTATAAGATGCGACACAGAAACTTACGATCTTGTAGCCAGATTTTTACGCTTGCGTGCAGCAAGTGCCTCATACTCGAGCCGCTGGAACTGCTCATAAGGCAATTTTCCATTCTCATCCTCTTCTGCAAATCTTAGTGGGTCCATTTCATCTTCAAACACAAGATTGTATTCATCATCTTCTGCATCTCTTTCAATTTCCGCTTCCGCCTCAGGTTCTGGCTGCCCTCGCTCTTCTTCCTCCTCCCTCTCGCTAGCTCCTAAATCTTCTGCATCACCCCCCTCTAACTCCTGCATCCCCAGACCATACGCCTCGTCTTCTTGGTCGTGGTCCATACCATCGTGATCCATATCATCACTGTTCATATAGACACAACCAATCAAAAAACAGAAGAAGTATGTGATTTATAGGGCAAATAGTGTCACCCTTCTAAATTCAATGATTTGAATTATATTACAAATGGAATTTGGTCACACATCCAAGATATGTAAGAATTCAGGAGATGCAATGAAAGGTTCGACAGGAGAATAACATACACTGCTCCGATTTCATCAACCTCAACAGAATCCAGGCTCTCTTTGGGGTTGTCAATCAGCATCTGCATGAAGCTACGCTTTCGATGAGGCAAATTTCTCTCGTCTGGACTCACATCTGGCGTCATCAGAGAAGAAGATCCTTCTCCAGAATGATGCAAGCCCGTATTAAACTCGTCTATTTCCATGGAGCCTAAGTCTTGAATCCAACTCCAGTTCTGGAGATTGAGAATCCGAAAGACCTCCAAATACGTCTACGAAATCAGAACCTGGCACAAATTACATTCACCACTGATATTTGAGAATTCCACATCCTTTGTAGGCATCATGCTTGCTAAGTGCTGCACCGCAACAAAACGTAATATGACCTAAGACTTCGCGGCGTTGAGGCGTTGAAATTGCCATAATTTCTCCAATTCAAAAAAAATGACAATGAAAATAATAAAATAACTTGTTTCATTTGCGCCCAAGTGCTAGAAACACGATAGTATAGCGATTAAGCGTATGCTATAAGCCCTAATCTGCGACGAAAACTTCCAAAGTTCCTAAGACTCCCGGAACAGAGAACCAATCAAGCTTACAATGCAATACTTGTGAAAGCACGAGCAAACAGAATCTCATGCGATTGTCAAGGACATACACACATTGTACATCGTAATTCTTGGTTCTAAGATTGCGAACAGCTCCGAAATGTAGAATCTGCAGAACTCATGAGCTTCAAATTCCCGGACAAGGAGGTTTCCCAAAACCCTCAGAAGCCAACGCCAAGTTTCCCCTTCACAACTAGTCTTCATGTCTCTATTAAGTACTCCAGTTAATTGGTCATGCTAATCTTAGCAGGTACAATTTAGGTAGTTTTATTTTCCAACCCTTCTTTCTGAATTTCTATGAATAAATTAATTTTTTAAAAAATAATAAAAAATAATAAAAAATAAAAATAAATAAAAATAAAATAAATAAAATAAATAAATAAAATAAATAAAAAAAACCATTCTCAACTTTACAAGACTCAAATATGATGACCTCCAACCCTAAGTAAGAAGATCACTATATTTTAAAAATTTAAAAATTAGTTATGTTATTTTTTTTAATGGTACAAATGATTTTAATAGTAAAGTATACATGTGTTGATGTATTCGTATCAAGTACAAAAAAATTAGAGAGTCTTCAATTAAGTTTGGACTACAAGAAAGGTGTCAATAATATTTAAGGTATTGTTAATTTTTTATTTGTATATGCTTGCTATCACAAAATCTTGTGGAAGTTTTTTTTAGAAACTAAGAAATTTATAAAGTAATTTATAAAGTAAGTGTGTAATTTGTAAGATATTTTTAAAATAACTTTCTAAATCTATAAAACTTCTATGAGAAATTCTGGTGGCTACATCAAAATATATCTGTAAATTCAACGTGATTTAAAGAATATTTTTTTAATTCTTTATAAGGAAGTAATTGTGTATAAAACTTTATTTTCTCTATTTTTATCTAATTTCAGTTGATTTTGTAGTATGATGTTTTACAATTAAATTCAAAAGAATAAATTAAAAATCTTATATAATAACATAAATCAATTTACGTGTTGTATTAAAATTTGAAGATAAATCAAACTCACTTTCTTTTAAATGATAAGAAATTAGATATGAAATCAGTTCTATATTTTATGCTAATTTTCTAAAATATGTATTGAAGACACACACACACACACACAGATATATATATATATATATATATATATATTATATAATAACAAGTTTATTCCAAATAAAAGAAAACAACTAGTACTTGAATTTGACCATTGAAACATAATGTTTGTCAATTGTTATGTTTATTTTTACAGACTTTCAAATCACACACACACACACACACATATATATATATATATATATATATATATTCTTTAATTTTTTAAAACAAATTTAAAAATTACATTATGTATTAAAATTTTAGTTTTATATTATAATTAAAAACGCACTGTATATATACTAAAAATTCTTTGACTTAACATAGACTCATATTGTAGAAGTATTAGGTAAAATAGCTTTTACAAATCTTTTTGAATTTTGCAATCTTTCTATCAAACCATGATCCTTTCATTTTTGTATATAATATTAATTCTTTTATTTATTAAAAAATATTTTAAAAGTTATATTTTTTAATCTTACGTGATTAATAAATTTTCAACATTAATTAATAATCAATTACAAAAAAATCATGTACAAGTGTGGTTTTGAAAATAATAAAATTTCAAACACAATGATTATTTTATATTAAAAATTAAGACTATGTTATGAACATGCATATTTACTTGCATATTCTTGTGGTCACATTTTGTATAGGAGATTTCTAAATCAAGTTCACAAGGCTCCGTGTCAGTTGTTTGGAATGAGTGATTTCACAATTAGTAACATGTCCATTATGGTTGAAAAATATTACTTTGTATTGGCCACAACACATCGCACCATCATGAATTTAATGAGGCAAAAAAATGTGCAGTTATTGGATTGGTCAAGGATGCTAATTTCAACACAATAACGTGTATATGCTTCAAACGTAATTGAACAACGTTGCAAAGAAGTTTTACAATTTTACAAAGTCCAAACATATTAACAAATGTATCAAAGTTGAACGTCAAAGGTGGTTGACAGTGAGAAATTTATAAGTGCAGAGGATAGTAGAGTTGAACGTGAAGGGATTGGGGATGGTTGTGTTGTAATTAATGACTTGCATGGAGTGAAAATATTCCTCCCTCCCTACTTCCCCTCCCTGGACATTGTGCAAAACAATATAATGAAATGGAGAACCCGAAGAGGAGGCCCTGGTGCACGGAAGGGTTTGGGGTGGGGCTGAGAGAGAGGAGGTGTCAACAGACGAGGTCAGCAGTTCCATGCTGCTCTTAGAACACTGCCGACTGATAGAATAAACGGAGAGTGGGTGAGGTTCAAAGCCAACCTACGTTGAAGGGGGAGGGGCCAAGGCGGGGCTATGCTCTCTTTCTTACTCTCTCACTCTCTCTTTCTTTCTCCCTTTCTACATACGCAACAAAGGGAGGAGGACGAGGAGGAGGAGGTAAAGGGAAAGAGGGCAGCTAAGTTCTCATTCCAGCCAGCCTGGGTTCTTCACATCACAAACTCTGCCGCGACTTAAACGGTGAAGGCCCTGCTTCGTAACTGGCCATATCTAGCCCCCCCCCCCCCCGGGCTGCACTTCTGCCCCTCTCATTGCGTTGTCTCTGCATCAGATCGACGTCGCATTTGTACTGCCTTGTGCTCTGCTATCATGCCTGCCATCAATGGCGAGCGTCTCGTCACCTTCGAGGAGGGCGAAGATGAAAGCGAGTACGGCTATGTTCGCAAGGTAACTTCGCTCCGATCTTTTTACTCCTCAAATTTCTAGCAGAGTTGAGGGAGGAGATTCTCTTGTGGATGTAGCATCTGCTCCTATTTCAGATGTTTTGGAGCTTCGCATGGGCTTAGTGGTGAGATTGATGGAGATCTTCGGTAGTTCCATCTCTCATTGATTACGGGTGTGAACTGGCGGAGTAGAGCGAGCCTTGTTTGTAGATGCAAGGTCTTGGAGCAGCGTTGTTTCTGTCTGTAATGATTTGATGGATGTTTCGCTGTGAGTAATCTCGCTGTTTAGTTGTGGAGAGGATCACGGTAGTGTAGATATGCACGTTTTACATGAGGAAGTTAAGCTCTCTTTAACGGTAACACTTACTTGGATCGATTGCATTACTTATTTTAGTAGAATGTCTCCCCATGTTCCATGATGAGTACAAGATTTTCCATATCATAGATTTGTCCTGACGATGTCCCGCTTCTTAATCTGTATGTTACAGACGAGCAACGTGATTCAATAGTTTTAAATTTTCAATTGATTTGTGGATTCGGGTTACTGTGATACGATTCTTATTTTCTTGTGAGATTGGCAATTAAAATTTGAGTTAATCTTGTCAGTAGTATAGCTGTCTACCATGTTTCTTATATTCTGGATGAGCTGCGGTTGTTTTCGTATAGCAGTTATTATACAGTTCTTGTCAGTTTCTTGTCTCGTTTAGTTCTTAGTTATTAGTTCTGGTCTGATTTTAGCTGTTGGCGATGGATTATCCGAGTTTTAGTTTTCGCAGGTTTTCTATTCAGACTTGCGAAATCTTTGTGAGTAGGACGAATAGTAGGTTTTTGCTTGTGTTAGCATATATAGCATTGATTGTTTGTTTATTTCATCGTTATTCCAAATTTCTCAAGATACCTCTGTTTGCCGAAAGTTCCACCTTTACTTCTCTTAGTATTCAATTTTCCAGCAAGAACAACAACAGAGAAAGTTGCATAATAGCCAAGATGAAGAGTCTCTATGTTCCGGTTACGGACATTCTCGATCTCAAGAGTGGACGTCACACTGTATCTATTTGCTGCTACGTGATGCATGCGGATCGAGATGGGCTGTCGTTGAATGAGAGCTTTTCAGCAAGTTTGGCTGGAAGCTCAGCATTGGTTCGGATTACAGTCAGGAACAAGTCATCTGTTCGATGTTGAGACTCATAATCATGGATAGTCGATGAATTGTGGATATAGAATGTTTGAAGTATCTGGACTGCAAGCTAATTCCCATCGACATTTCAAATTCATGTTAGGTATCCGGACCAGTGGTGGTTGCTGATGGCATGGGAGGAGCCGCGATGTACGAGTTGGTTCGTGTCGGACACGATAATCTGATAGGAGAAATCATTCGCCTTGAGGGTGATTCAGCTACAATTCAAGGTGCAGAGATATTGTAATCAGATTTGATGTCTTTCTTTCAGCTGAATTTTCGGGGATGAATGTTACCTTGAAATGGTTGTTCTCTTGTGAGGATTTTGACGTTTCTAGAATGTTTAGTTGTAAAGCAGTTGGAATTTGATAGGACATTGTCTCATTCGATTGTTGCTAATCAGCAGCTGAGGATTCCGTACTTCCTAGTTCATGCTTGCAAAAACCAACAGAAACTGAATTTACTGTGCAGTCTACGAAGAAACAGCAGGATTGATGGTCAATGACCCGGTTTTGAGAACACACAAGGTATGTTGTTGGGAATTGCAAATGTACTTGTTAATCCTGCTAAAAAATCTTTTAATAGAAGATGGATGCTGTTGCATGAAAATTTGCTTGCAATTTTCTTTTGGAGCATCGATTTCTCACCATTTATGCTTCTTATTTTTGTGATGTTAGATAATATCCTGCAAACAGGTTTCAGGGCTAATTGGTGCTCACAGTTAGTGCCTGAGTATTGCAGCCTCTTTCGGTGGAGCTAGGTCCAGGTATTTTGGAGAATATTTTTGATGGAATTCAGGTGTGGTTTCAATACCAACCGTTAGCCGCTTTATTTTCTTGGCACACTTACACATCTGTTTTTAAGGTTCTATTCTTATATGAGTTTATATTGTTTAAGAACTTGTTCACGTACTACAGTTTTTGCTCTGTCCTTAACGAAACGTTTTTCTCTTCGTAAAATGTAGTTTGAATTACTGAAGTGTAGAAGTACATCTCGATGGCGTTCTGGTATATGCATTAATATGCACATCTGTCTACTTGAATGTTATCATCTCTACTTTTAGTCAAGAGACTTCCTTTGACACGATATTTGTGGTATTTCCTTGAACAGCGGCCTTTGAAAGCTATTGCACTTCAGTGTCAGGATGTGTATATTCCTCGTGGAGTTGCAGTGCCTGCTCTTGATAGAAAGAGGCAGTGGGAATTCAAACCTAAAGGCTTGAGTGAGTTTGCTATCTCTTGTGGTCTGTTCACCAGTATCTGTTCTCTTTCAGCAAAAACAGTTTATCTTTACAGAAAATTGTGCTTGTTGTCATACTTCCTCAAATTCGTACTGCTCTATCCAAGCGTGCTTGTATTTGGATTAGGTTTTCTGGAAATCGCTATTTGAAATTGTACTCAAGACTTGTGCAGCCAATGTTTGTATATAGCTTTCCTCATTTTCTTGTGGCTCACTTGTTTGCCAATGTGTCAGGTATTGGTGATGCTATTACGGGAGGTGATTTGTATGGGGTAATTTACGCTTCTTTTACGCACTAGGTGCTTTGAGTGTGAATCATTATTACGTCACATGCGTCCTTCAGTGTAGAAGATTGAATCTGATGATGGAGCAATACCATTGCTTTTGGTTTGAGTTTACTTTTTACACTTGTTATGTAAACCTGCTTGATAAGCTTTTGACTGCGAAGTTGCAATCTGATACAATTATTGATGCTTTGTTTTGGTTTTATGAATTATGCAGACTGTATATGAGAATAGTTTGATTGAGCATCACCTGGGATTGCCACCTGGTTCCATGGGAAAAATTACTTACATTGCTCCTGAAGGAGAGTACTCGATACAGGTTGGACTTTCATGATCTTGATCTGCAAAATTTGGCATTCCATTTCTGAAACTGGCCCACTGGTTGAAGTGAACCTAATAGACCATAATTTGTAGCACGTGCGGGCTTAAGTGAAGTAGTCACACTTCTTTTCAATTCGTTTAACTGATCTTTGGCGAACTTTGTTCAATCTTCAATAATCTTTGTGCAAGGATGCTGCTAGCTAAACTAGATGTGGACTAAACTTGTTATATTTGGGACTTAAAGGATGAAGTTATCGAACTGGAGTTCCAGGGAGAGAAAAAGAAGTTCACTATGCTTCAGGTAAAGCTTTTTCAATTATTTGAGTGTGTGTCTGTGTGTCTGTCTTTAAAGCACCAATGGATGGAGCAAGTTACTTTGTACTAATTTGAGGCGACCACAAACAAGAAGACTTAAAATTTGATACTTTATTATCATTTTATGAATCATGTTTCTGGTGGTTGGAATTAGGCCTGGCCTGTCCGTACACCACGGCCTGTTGCGGAGAAGCTCGCCGCTGACACTCCCTTGCTCACGGGCCAGGTACGGTCAGCTAATTTTAGTTGCATTTAGGTATTTGTGTACATGCTTTGTGACTAATTTCACACCTGTTTTTATCAGTTGCTTATGCTTGAACCATTTCAGATTTTAATATTTTTCAATGTTTATCATCTTCTGTTTTGAATTTAATTCATGGATGAGTCAGCTATCATGCTGTTTGTATGTTGATCCACTCCGTTTTCCCCTTTACAGCGTATTCTGGATGCTCTATTTCCATCTGTCCTCGGAGGTACCTGTGCAATTCCTGGTGCGTTCGGTTGTGGGAAAACAGTTATTAGTCAGGCTCTGTCAAAGGTGATTGGCTTCACCTTATTGTGTTTGGAGACATAGTAAAGCATCGTCTTTGTTTACCATAATTTATTGGGTTGATAAGCTGCAGATACTGCGAGCTGTCACGATTTCCTTGAAATGGTTCTAATTTTATGTGCTGCTGTGTGCAGTATTCCAACTCTAATGCTGTTGTCTATGTTGGCTGTGGAGAGCGTGGGAATGAAATGGCTGAGGTGTGGTCTTGCCTGGACAATTTTCTTGAAGCATGGGTTTCAATTTTATAACAATGTGTATTGCTGTTGTTAAAACTTGTGCATTATCAAGTTGTCTTGCTACATCATATTTTTGAGTGTGGTAATACGATAATATTTCATGCCATGGTATGTAGTTAACTGTTGGAGCTGTGGTGTGTAGGTACTAATGGATTTTCCACAGCTGACAATGACCTTACCTGATGGTCGTGAAGAGTCTGTTATGAAGCGTACCACTCTCGTGGCCAACACCTCAAACATGCCTGTGGCTGCTCGTGAAGCATCTATCTACACAGGTTATTTTCTTTTCTTCTGAGACTCTACTTTCTAGGTGCTGTATGAAACCATTTCATCCTCTTTGGATGTTTGAAATGCTATCCTGTATGATCGCATACTTCCGCATCATTATGCAAATGCTGTTTCCTGTTGCAGGTATCACTTTGGCAGAATACTTCAGGGATATGGGTTACAATGTCAGTATGATGGCAGACTCTACATCTCGCTGGGCTGAGGCGCTTCGTGAGATTTCTGGGCGACTTGTATGTTCTCAGGACTTTCCTTTGGTGTTTTTTTTAGGGTTTCAAACTTGTTAGTATCATGTATTTATTTATGGACAGTATAGGCAGGTTTTGTCCATGCAATGTCATTCAGACTCTAAGACATGCAGTTACTCTGTGGTTTTGCAGGCTGAGATGCCTGCTGACAGTGGTTACCCAGCGTACCTTGCTGCAAGGTTGGCCTCCTTTTATGAAAGAGCAGGAAAAGTGAAATGTCTGGGAAGCCCAAACCGTACAGGAAGTGTTACTATTGTCGGAGCAGTGTCTCCTCCTGGAGGAGATTTCTCGGACCCTGTCACAGCAGCTACGCTTGGTATTGTTCAGGTTAGTCATTTGTGTACTTGCACTGATTGTGCTACATCCTATCGTCAATTTCAGAATTACTCGCTCACCGTAGATTTATTGAGATAGCAAAGCATTGATCCTGAATGCATTTTTTATGTGGTTACTTGAAAAATGGATGTTAAATGCATGTGGAGTCAGGTGTTTTGGGGACTTGACAAGAAGCTTGCTCAACGTAAACATTTTCCAGCTGTGAATTGGCTCATTTCCTACTCCAAGTACACTCAGGTGTTGTGTTATTTTTTGCATCCTGTTGTCAGTTTATGAGTTTTGATCTCAGTTTCTTACTCCCATATCATCCAAAGACCTCATTATTCGCCCTCCAATGTGTTTATTATGTTAATGTTATCTCGTTGTACATATGAACTTTGTGGTTTGCATGTCGTATGAATGCGTGTATTGTAATAAGATTTTGGTGATATAATTCAGAATGTTATCTTCACTTAAGCTGACACTTCATGCTGTGCCCCCCAGGCTCTCGAGGGATTCTATGAAAATTTCGACGCTGATTTTATCGGGATCAGGACGAAGGCTCGTGAGGTTTTGCAGCGGGAGGATGACCTGAACGAGATCGTGCAGGTGAGGCATTTCAACCTTATGCTAGTCTGGTTATTCGTATCTTATATAATTTCAATAGCGAAGTCTTTATATTTGAGAAGGCACCTTTCTGCCAGGTGGAATTTCTAGTCATCATTTCGTCTTCGTTCCTGCCTATTCCTGCGAAGGTAATAGTAAGTTGTCGTCTGTTGCAGCTTGTTGGAAAGGATGCTTTGGCAGAAACTGATAAAATCACCTTGGAAGTTGCTAAACTCTTGAGAGAGGACTATTTGGCGCAGAATGCTTTTAGCAGGTGAGCTTTGTTGAAATTTTGTTGTGTAGGATGTTTGTTGGGTAGATGTTTTTCATTATTCTGTGTCCCTGTTCGACGATTGTGTGTTTCTCCATGTCTGATTCGGTCCTCTCATACGTGACAGTTATGACAAATTCTGCCCATTCTACAAGTCTGTGTGGATGATGCGTAATATTGTCCACTTCAACACTCTTGCAAATCAGGTTTGCTCGTTATTCCAAAATGTTTTTGTTTATTATTTATCTTTTCCTCCTCTTTTTTGAATTGATTCATTAATTTGTTAAATCTTTGAGTTGTTCAAATTTTGATGATTGGGTGGTTGTATCTCAACTCGTATGTTTACAAATTCCAAAACTAATGAGCGATGATTTCATCTGCAGGCTGTTGAGCGAGCTGCTGGCTCAGAGGGACAGAAAATCACCTACAACATCATCAAGCAGCGTTTGAGTGATATTATCTACCGCCTGGTGTAAGTCCTTATTCTCCTTCGTTATAGTTTTGTAATCTTGGGACTGCGTGGATGATATTATTCTCTCAACAAGGTGCAACTGCATGCTATGTCTATTAAAAAACACTTATACTTTATCAGAACAGTTTTGGAAGTGAAAGTCCCTGTTGTCAATCACTTTTTATGCAGTTTCCTGTCATTCACTATTTTATTTCATGATTGTTGCCTAAAGGCTGTTGAAGGAGAGTATGTTTCATTGTGATAAATATTCCGCCGCGAATCCGTGAACTGCCTCGGTCCCTCTATTTGACGTCAACCTCCATTATTCTAGACTAACACTGAACCTCATGTGATTTCTCAGGTCAATGAAGTTTGAGGACCCCGCTGATGGTGAGGATGAGTTGACTGCGAGGTACAAAAAGCTGTATGACGATTTGACGGCTGGTTTCAGGAACCTAGAGGATGAGTACCGCTAAGTGGTGCCATTTTACAACTATTCTCCCTTAGGGAAAACTTGAGTCTTTTGGCACTGTCGTGTAGAGCGAAATGCTTGTAGTGGAGTGCATTATTTCAATATTGTTCCTTGTGCAAACAGCCGGTTGATGTGGTTGTGCTATGTTCTCGTATCACTAAGCTTTTTTCCAGTGATGTACCAAGATCTGGTAATTGAACTTGCATGCGATGCCTATTTTCATCCTCGAGACTAATGATTGCACCTTCATTGACTTCGTAACTGACAACATATTGAAGTGCTAGGTTATGTGGATGTGACATTTGTGTTGTCAACTTTGTTTGCATAATGTAACTGTTTGTTATTAAGTTTGAGACTCATCTTTCGGTATTGTGATGTGGTATTGGTGTTGCATTGCTAATTGATCTTTTGTGGATTACAACCCTTAGTAATGTTGATCACCAAGTCTAATGCTGTAGACGAGAAGGTAATTAATATACTGAGACTTAATCTTATTACATACAAATACGATATTTACTTTCAGCTTGCGTTGTACACTGCTCATCTGCAACTACACATTTCCAAGTAGAGTTTTGGGAATTGTCGCGAATGCAATTCAAATGACTTGTGGTCTCGAAAATCCTCTATTACCATGTCATCAGAAGCTTCACTACACTGCCATAATTAGAGTTAGCCGCTAGGATTTTCGTCCACCAAAGTGATATTATGGCGTGTGAAATCCGTTTTGAACGTTAAGCAGTAGAGGAGGCAGTGGTAAGTTTCTCTGCATCCTCGTTTGAACTCTAAATCCTTAGGAGTCCTGTCAACAGGTTCTGGATGAATAGCCAACTGGATAGCGACCGGCTGTTCACGAATAATGCTTGAGGCCACCGGACTTGGCAGTAGACATCGCGTAGACGGAATGACGCGTGGCGAATAGACCGGGTGATTTCGGTTAAACGAAACCCCCGCACTCAACATTCTTGGTAGCTTTGCAGATGGAGGAAGAGTGCGTCACCTGAGCTTCGACAAAACGGGCCTTGCTGTGGTCGCTCTGCTTGATCGATCAATGCGAGGGGCTTGGCATGATTTCTTGTTGTGAAGTAGCAGACGCCTCATGGTGTGGAGCTTTCGGAGAGGAATTCGGTGTGAAGTTGCGGCTTTGTGAGGCATCTTGGACGAATCGGGGGTTTTATGATTGAGAGCGAGGGTGCCGAGGTTTCGAAAAACATTTTTGAACTGGATTTCTTTCTTTCTTTCTCTGTTTTGATTTGCGAAGAAAAGCGCGTTTCTGCTCAAAAATATCGAGGATTACGGGTTCATAGTCTGTGAAGACTGAAGTTTCATCGGCAAACGAAGTTTAGGTCATCGTTTCGAAGTTTTGTTGCAGAGTTGCGAAGATTTTCCTCCAATGTTTTACACTAGCTGGCCAGTTGATTGTTTTCAGCGTTAACCCTTTCACTGGAGTGGAGAGCAAGTGGAGAGCTATTTGAGAGCGAAGCAGTTGCGAAAATCGGTTGGAGGTTAATTATCTGGATGTGCTTTGGTGATATACATTCCATTCGGTATTGATCAGATATGCTTCATTATCAAAAGTCAAGCTATCAGTTGAGGAGAGAATAGTAACAGCCTCAAGCTGTGGCGGAATTTTATCGTGGATTGCGATATGCCCAAGAGGATCTTTTTAGTCAAGTCAAGTTTGTTGTATTGAGCGCTCAGGGGCCTAGATCTAGATCGGTAATTCTGCTGAGTATTGGTGCAAGTGTTGAACGACGGACAATGTGGGAGAGAAGCTCTGAGAGCAGGGCAAATTAGGGGAATTGTGAGGACCTTATGCCTCACCTTCTTTTGGTTCCTCGTGCATTATATCTGGAAACCCAGGAGCTGCAGATTGCTCTTTGATTCCCCGAAGCTTTCCCTGGGATACGTTTATCTTGTCTTCAACAGCAAGTAGCGACTTGCAGAACCAAATTGGTTGGAAAGCGTAGAATCATTTTTAGAAAAGTCGAAAAAGCTGTAGAGTTAGAATTAGGGTTAATATCACGCTGTGTTCTTTATGGTCCGATGATGTCCACAGGAAATGGTAGCAGCATGAACCCGAAGCCAGTCCCGGCATGGCTCAACAGTGCAGCCTGGACATCGAAGCCCAGGTCTCCCATAAAGCCTTCATATTCCTTTGGCGAAAGATCAAATTCTGCTACGCTAATGGAGCCAGTAGGCAAGTCAACGGGGGATCAGGAAGATCTATTAAGTAGTATAGCAAAGGTTGAGAAGGAGGTTGCAGCAACACAAGAAGAGAGTGATGCAACTGGCTCGGCTACACAGCCTACTCAGGCATGGATGTTTGTCCTTTCCCTGAGGATATCTAGATTTCTATAGGTTCCTTGGTTCAGCATGTTTGACATGAATCCTTTCTTGCACAACAGCTCTTACCTGACTGGATTTCTAAAGACTGTGTGCGGGGAATTGGAATGTATTATTGTCCGAGTAATGTTAGTCTATTTGAGGAGAGCATTAGTCGAGTCTGTTTCGTACTGAATCTCTTGAAATCTGATTTAACATAGACAATTATGGCGGTGCAGAATGCTGATTACTCGGAACCCTCCTCATACACTGACGAAAACAAAGTGGTAAAAAGCCCTTCGTCGTTTGATTATCGGGTATCTCTTTTCAATACTGAGGTATGTCCTTTTATGTCAATTACGATTAAGTTTTTGTATAATTTTTTGCTGTTTTCTTTTGATCCTGTCCTGATTTATAGCACTCTCTTGTATTTCATGAGTTGTTTGGAGTTGACTTTGACATCTTACTGCTTAAGACGCATCTTTCTGCCTTCTTCCAGTTGTCAAGGAGAAGAATACACCTAGCAGAACTGCAACGTTTAACATCCCAAGGAATTCCTGATTCTGGAGGCATTCGAGCAATTACTTGGAAGGTACGTCAATCATTGAGCTCTTGTTTACTCCACTGCATTTATCTCTTATGTTCCTACTTGCGAGTGTCTTGTTATTAAACTGGTCTTGTGACGGCATGTTGTCAATGCTGTGAGAATAGGTTCTGCTTGGTTATTTGTCAAGAAATAGAGATGATTGGGCTACGGAACTGGAGAAGAAGCGGGCCGCATATGCTGTTTTTCGGGAGGAGATGATAATCAATCCTGTAAGCTTCTTCTACTGTACTGATTGTTCGTTGGATTTTGAATTTGGAGTTGGTTTCTATGAAAATCACCTGTAAGAAGCTGGAGACTAAGCGTTTCTCTTATATAGCACTTCAATTCAAAACAGAAAATTTAGCAAAGCAGTTCATGACTCTAGACGTGCACCTGATATTTCTGAGGAATTCTGTTTCATCTCTTTGTGCGGTGTAAATCTGATGATATCTTATTTAATTGTGACATTTTAGAATGTCGAAAGCGCGTGATGAGGGTTGTAGTCACTAGTACACAAAGGAAGCTTAGGCTTGAAAGTGCCGCATCTCTAAACAATTCATGGGCAACGTTGTACTGCAATGCGGTGAATGGTGATGCTTTTTACTGACATCGAACTCGTTTTGCCGGTTGCAGTCGGAGGTTACTAGAAGAAAGGAGGAGATGGAAGCCATGAAGGCAGCAGAGCTGGAGGCATTGGAAGGTCCTCTCCAGCGGCATGAAATTTCGCATGATGATCACCCTTTGAGTCTTGGCAGCAAAAGTGTCTGGCATCAATTTTTCCAGGTCCTCCCTTTGAACTTTTTCATTCGACTTGGGTTCATAACAACTTCCGTATTGATTTTGGTTGATGGATAGGTCGAGATCCTAAATGACCTCCATTGATTTATTTTGAATTGACAGGATACTGAGCTAGCAGAGCAAATCAACCGTGATGTGAAGCGGACACATCCAGACATGCAGTTCTTTTGTGGAGACAATGACTTTGCTCGAGAGAACCAAGTACTCACATACTGCCGATACATTTGTTTATATCTTAACTAACCTTGTACCTTTGGAAAGTTCCTAGAGTTGGGCTCCCTGCCCAGAGTGATCTATTCCTGTTTCTTGTCAGACATCACATTTTTCTGGGCCTGAAGACGGTTTTGAATAGCTTTATGTTCCTTTTCTTGATGAGTCATTCTTAGTTGTATCACCGTGCTCATGTATAAGTAGCGACAATGTTTGATTCTGAAAAAAAAAAATTGTAGCTTTTTAGGCTTTGAGGTACTTAGTCGTAAATGGAACTTATATGTTCGTATGCTGACTGTTTTGCTTACATCTTATGCTCATGTCGAACAGGAAGCACTCAAGAGAATCCTGTTCATTTTTGCTAAATTGAACCCAGGAATCCGCTATGTGCAAGGGATGAACGAAGTCTTAGCTCCGCTATATTATGTGTTCAAGACTGATATTGATGAGTTCAACTCGGTAGGACAACAATACATCTACTTTTAGGAATGTAGCTATAACGTATTGAGCAGTTCTTACCTTCCAATTCTTGCTTAGTCACGTCCATGTCATGCACATTAGATACGTACTTTTACCTTATTTCTTTCAGGATTCTTATTGCTACGTCCTCATTATACAAAAATGGTTTAGGAATTTCTGTTTGGAGAGATATTCGACGTTATCTGATGGGCAATTTTGTATGTTGGTCAGAAACATGCAGAGGAAGATTCTTTTTTCTGTTTTGTGGAGCTGCTGAGTGACTTCAGAGATCATTTCTGTCAGCAACTTGACAATAGTGCTGTGGGGATCCGGTCTACCATATCACAGATGACTCAATTGCTACGGAAGCATGATGAAGAGTTATGGAGGCACTTAGAAATCACTTCAAAGGTATCCTAACGCAGGTTTCTGTATCCTTATTGTGAGCATGTTTTATCTTAGTTGGATTGGGGTTTTCTGATTTTACAACCTAGCTTTCCATTTTATTAATAGAAAGCGACAGTGTTCACCAAGCCTGGTCTTAGTCAAGAAACAATGCTGATCAAATAAGCATTAAATTGGAGCAGGTACAACAATATGCATGGTTAGCTTAGGCATGGGCATGGGCATGGGGCAGTACGTAGCAACCTGAGCAACTCTGAGTAGTTATGAAGAGCTCGTTTGGTCTTCCCATCCTTTCCTATCAAAAGTTGATGCATTTGGTGCTTTTACTGCGTCTGTACTCTGATCACGGATACTTGAAATCGTGTTTGCTTGCTCTTAGAAGTTCTGTTCTGTGTACTTTTATAGAATGTGGTTGAGGATTAAATTGCCTTTATGTGTCCACAGGTCAACCCCCAATTCTACGCTTTCAGATGGATAACTTTGCTGCTAACGCAAGAGTTCAACTTTGCTGATTCTCTTCGACTTTGGGACTCTCTTCTCAGTAATCCCGATGGTCCATTGGTATGCTCAAAAACTACTTGGACATCAAGCAAGCTAGTTTTTTCTTGTTATTATTTCGCTGATAGCTTGTTTAACATTGTTAAAATCAATCTTAACCATTATATAGGCTTGGAGTTTTTGTGGCTGTCCAAGCTTCAGCGGCACTGAAAAGCTGTGACATTGTCCAGGTCGTGCATACTGTTGTTGAAGTATTTATGAAGTCTGTCGTTTTCATGTATACTTGAAGTCGTAGCGGCTAATTTATTAGCTTTTATTGTTACATTCTAAATCATTTAGGCCGTTTTTTTACAGGAAATCTTGTTGAGAGTTTGCTGCTCTATGCTTCTCTGCTTGAGAAGCCGGCTTTTAGCAGGGGACTTTACAACAAACTTGAAGCTTCTTCAACACTATCCATCAGTTGATATCAACCATCTTCTGAAAGTGGCTGATGACTTGAAGGAGTTAAAGTGAGGTGCAATCGGAGATGGTAAACCACACTTGGAATGAAATGCTGGATGTATGGCTTCTTGAATAATGAAGAATTGGTTAAATGGGTCTTCATTTCTGTTCGGGCATGTGTAGACTGTCTTGTAATAGCCATCAGAAAGTTGGATGCAGTGGCAAGTCCTGCTGCGACAAGTTTGTTACCTGTGCTCGTTTTTTCCATCTATCTGCAGCAGTGACGTTGACTTGGGAGTTTCCCACGTGGCCCTTCTTCAAAGTATCAAGATCAAGGACGGATAGTGGGCAAGCAGATTAATTGTCCGTTTGTTCGTTTCATTCTTTGATTTGTGAGTGGATCACTCTCTTGGTTCTCAAGGGTCTAGCTATTTACACAAGGCCCATTTTCACCCAGAGTGATTCTTGATACATCTATTTGGGGAGGAAGCTCGCTATATTTATGTACAGTTTTTGGTTGCTACTTGCGATCATGTATTGTCTATTGAGCACTGTTATTCTAAATTGTCTTTTATTAGGTGTAAGCTGCAATGAGTTACCTTACGAGAAAATCTATTTCTATCAGTTTTCAAATTGAAGTCGTGGACTATTCTTCAATTTTTGAAGTTTCCGTTCTAGTTTGTGGGATTGATGTTTTATTCATTTACACATTGTCTCTTGGTGTGAGGAAATGCCTGTTTGTTTGGAGTGGTTTCGATTGAAAGGAATTGTGGGTTTCGGTATTTGATTGTAGAGTTCCTGCTGCAAGTCTGCATTCTGGAATTTTCCATTGGATGTTTGTGAGTTGGGCTTTAACAATGTTCCTTAAAAGCAAGCTTCCATTCTGGGGACATCCAACACTAGTGACTGTGACCTTGTAACATTCGAATTAAGCAGATGGTTCTTGCCTCAGCTCTGAAAGGAGCTCAGAAAGTCCATAAGTGGAACTTGTAAAAAGAAGAGCTGCTGTTTCGCAAAAACATCCATGAGGCCACACCTTTCGTGGAGCTGAATGCCAATTAAAGGTCAAAAGCTTCCCTCGAACTGCTGGCTCCATGTGGCCAAGCTTTTCTTGTTTTGAAAGGGCAGCCAGTTTCATGCATGAGATAGGGTTTGCCAAGATATGTAAAGATACTGACACAAAAATGCCTTCCTTCTCACTCTCATTCCTTTTCTTCCAACTTTTATCATGAACTTCGTCTTGTTCTCTTGTTTATCTGTTCGTATTTCTTTTTCTGTTTTTGGTTATCATGTCGTTTTTGTTTTATTCAGTCCATCAGTACTCTTTAAACTTACCAACTTTTTCTTCTTTCAATTTTAACTTTAGGTAATAAAATGTAGAACTTTGCAATCATATATTTTACTTTGGAACCATGCTGGTTGTCTAGTTTGTATTGGTGACCCAAAGAAAGGTCAAAATGAAGTTGGATAGTTGAGTTTAATTTCTTTCTATTTTAGAAAAAAATCAATTTCTAGGTTTAGATTTGTGATTCTACTAACCAAAGTGTAGTATGTTGTCTTGGTTGTTATTAAACAATCTAGTCCCTCTCAACTTGTATTGGAGCCTTAAAGGCTCTTAATTGGTTTGTAAGATTTTTTTCCATTGTTGATTTTTTTTTTAAATAAGAAAAAAATTAGTGGAAACATAATATACATTGCTAAGTTCAATTTAAGTCTTCTTTTAAAGAATACAATTTTGTATTTATGCTTGTCTATAATGTTTATTCTTTGTTGTCATGACTTGGATAGTCGTACATACCATTATTGTGAATCTTGAAGAACTTAAAAGATCAAGATACTCTTGTATCACTCAAAAAGACTAAAAATCACTCAAAGATGATATAATATTAAATTAGAATGGCTATTGTTAATAATAAGAAGACTATAAAGTCTTGAAACAAGACTAAGGACTAAAAAGGCATTGATAAGAGTGAAGAGAGTTTCACTATTGCCTCCATATATACCATCTAAATAGTAGCTACGTGGCAATGTTCTATAGGATTTTTAACACATGTTGACTTTGCTAGACATATGTTTTAATTTGCAAGGCAAGTTTTCTAAATGTGTGCCATATAATTAGCTTTTTCCAGAAGATACTAACATGTGTGGCACGTGATTAACTTATTGACCAAGTTTCTAACCTATCAATCAATTACAAACATATGTAAAGTCAAAATTATGTCTAACAAGCTTCTCAGAAGCTTTTCTAGAAGATATTATGAAATTAATTTATATTTATCTACTTTTACCTAATTATATAGATAATTATTGAATTAAACATGTATATCTATCATATTATCTTCTCCTCCTAGAGACAAGTTCTATAAAGAGCAATCATTATCTTTCATACATCTTGCTTTTTTTCATTTTAATTTTGATGGATGTCATTGATAAAAAGTTTCAATCCTATTTGCTGCATTTGCAAGATTCTTTATTCACTTTTATGTGTATTTATTAATAATATATTTGTACAAATGAATAAGATATTCTAATTTCTTTTGTCCCCACCTTGAATCTAAAACTTCTTCCACTTCAAACTCTTGATTATTATCCACTTCTATAGGAGTAGATGACATTTATCTTCTTTCTAAGATATTCTTTGTCTTACATGGTTTAAAAAGAGACATGTAGAATACAAAATAAATCTTCATAGACTTTGATAGATGAAATAAATAAGCAACAAGATTTACTTATTTACAAATAGAAAAAGATTTAAGCCTATAATAGTCCAACTTATTACAAAAATTAGAAGTCTTGATATTATAATGAAGTAACTATACCTTGTCATTTATAATAAATTGTAGTTGTTCCTTGCGATTGGCATTTGTACTAATCTTTTGTCATTCTAGAGCCTTCTTTAATTTTGCCTTTATTTTTGCATATAGCTCTAAAAAATGATTTGCCAAATCTTTCATTGCACAATTATCAACATTTGAAAAGTCAAAAGTATTAAGTCATGGATAATAACCATAATTAAAAAAAAAAGATATTTTTTTGAATAAAAGAATGTATCAAATTATTACATGCAAAATCTGCCAATAACATAAGAATTGTCCAATTATCTTGATGATAGTTGATGATATACCTTAAATATTACTTCAAAACTTGATTCATCCATTCTGTTTGTCTAACAATTTGAGGATGAAAAATTAAAGAAAGCTTTATATCCACCTTTAAAATATTAAAAAAAACTCCCCAAAATTTTGATACAAATTAAATCCTTCTATCTAATATAATAATAGATATTCTAATTTATTTTGTCCCCGCCTTGAATCTAAAACTTCTTCCACCTCAAACTCTTGATTATTATCCACTTTTATAGGAGTAGATGACATTTGTCTTCTTTCCAAGATATTCATTGTCTTACATGGTTTAAAAAGAGACATGTGGAATACATGATACTTGAATAATCTATGATAGCAATAGATTTTATCAAGAAAAAACTTAATAATTTTTTTGCATATGATAGATTTTGTATATGGTATAAAATGTGCCATCTTGATAAAATGATCTATTATCAAGGATATAGAATCATACAAACTTGAGACTATAAGATTTGTTATAAAATCCATTGAAATAAAAGACCATAGTTGTTGTAAAATAAGTAATGGCTTAAAAAATTTATAAGATCGATGATGAAAAGTTTTGGATCTTAAATAAATATTACATGATTGTATAAAGTCTTTGAGTACCTTGCACATTTGAATCTACCAAAAATTATTAAATATTAGCTATAAAGTCTAATTATATCTAAAATTTCTAATTTTTTGAAAATTATGATGAGTTTGAAGAACATATAATTGTGCTTTGCCTTATAGAATATATAGTTTTTACTCAAAATAGAATAGATTATTCTTGAAAAAAAACTTAGAAGTATTCTAAGACTTTGAAAAATTATGCTTAATATCATAAACAAGAGGATTAAAAGACATACTTAATTGAACTTGCTTGAAAGAAGTTGAATCAACAATCAATGTTGATTTTATTACTCAAAGGTAAAAATATTTTAGCTTCAAGAGAATAGTTTTTTATTCATCAAAAAATACATCTTCTTCTTTTGTGTGAGATAAAAATATTTAGAAAGGATATTTGATAAATCTTGTTGTTTTTGGATCAATAAGTGTTTTTGATAAAAATATGCTCTAAAAAGCTTTGCAATGATTCAAAATACGTACCAAAATGAAATATATGAGATTCTTATGATCTGTATATACAATGATTGTATTAAAAATGCCTTCTAAATAATAATGCCATTTTTTAAATGAATCTTTAATTGTAAGAAGCTCTTTGTCATTAATCTCATAATTAATTTTGATTGCTAAAAATTTCTTAGAATGAAAAGTTATCAGATGGAACTTGTTATTTACTTCTATTTGTGACAAAACAACATCTATAACAAAGTTTGATGGATTTGTTTCGATGAAGAATGTCTTAAAAAAGTCAATGCAATATAAGATTGGTGCAAAAAAATGTTGTCTTTAAAGCTTCAAAAGTTGCTTCAACTTCTTTGTTCTACTCAAGTTTGTCTTTATATGTCAGACATACAAAAAGAGTTGTAACTTGAAAAAAGTTTTTAATGAAGATCTTATAATAGTTGACAAATCTAAATTTTTTTTTGTATCTTTGACTATTTTTGAAATTTTTTTTTATCAATGATAGTCTAGATCTTCTTTAGATCTATTATTAGTCTTTTGTTGGAAATAATGTATTCTAAAAAATCAACTTGAATAATATCAAATATATGCTTTTTCATCTTTGCATATAATTTTTCTTTTTTAAGTTTTTTAATACATAACAAAGATAAAGTTCATATTTTTCTTTGTTCTTAGAGTAGATTAGAAATTTGTCTAAATAATAGAAAATAAAATCATCAAGAAACTCATAAAAAATGTCATTTATGACATATTGAAAAGTAGTTGGTATATTTGTAAGTCCAAAAGATATGACATTATATTCAAAATATCCATACTTAGTTTAGAAAGCAATCTTCTATTCATCTCATTTTTTTATGCAAACCAAGTTGTATGCTCCTTCTAGATCTACTTTTGTGTAGATCTTTGTTTGATTGAATTGATCAAAAAGTCTTAAAATTAGAGATAGGAGATATCTATTCTTGATGGTGATTTTGTTAAGTCTTCAATAGTCTATGCACATCCACATAGATCTATCTTTTTTCTTCACAAATAAGATAGGAACTCATGCTAGAAATTTCAAATGGTATATGAAGTTCTTAGCTAAGTTTTCATCAATGCATTCTTTTAGTGTAGCCAGCTCATTAGCTGTAAATTGATCCGAATAGTGATTGAGTTCTTTCTTACAAATCAATTGAATAATCTTAAGGTCAATACTCTTGAAGAATATTTGTATTTTTATTTTCAAGAATTTCTTAAATTTTTTTGATATTGGTTAAGAATATCACTTGACATCTTTCTACCATTACAAATAGGCATGGCAAATATAGCAAAAGGTGATTCTTCTTTTGCTGCATGCATGAAAGCTTTTGTACTTATCAATAAGGATTTAGATATATTAGACTTACATATTTTTATTTGACTAATGGAATTTTAGATCAAACTTCAAAAAATCCAATCTATCTGTGGATTATACTTTTCTAACTA